TAAGACAGATCATTCAAATAAAAAATTATGGATATCATAAAAGATGATTGCGGAATCCAAGTACACACTCTTGAAAACATTAATTGCATTAAAAACAATGAAAAACAACTACAAAAACAATGAAAGGTGTCAGAAATCCAGTGATGGCATTGCTAGTGCTTTACTTCACATCCAGCAGTGTGTGGTTCTAATTGGTTGTCCTGCAGAGCAAAGAAGAGTGCACATGTCTGGGGAGACCATGTCAAAGCAGCACAGAACATGTGTGTGTGTGCGCACACACACACACACACACACACAGACAGACAGTTTCAAACACAACTCCCTTGTGCCTGACTCTGTCCTCTTTCTCTTTCTTTGGCTTGCTCTGTCTGTCTACCTGACCCTAAGATCGATGAGTTGCACAGAGGCAGGGGCTGGCCATGTGGACAGCAGGGTTAACACAAAGCTAAAGGGGCTTCTTGCCATCTCACCAAACACATCCAGGCACAGAGCACCAGACAGCTTCATTAGCCCATACAGGAACTACAGGTTACAGCCAGGCCTCAATGCATGTTTACTACAGAGGAAAAGAGCTGGCATAGGAAAAAGTAAACCTACATTCTCGCTTTCCTATTCCCATTTTTATGCCTGTCCAGCTAAAGCTAACAGCAACACAGCAAAAAATAGAAAATGCTTTCAAGTAGTAAAAAACAATAAGTGTTCCATTTGAAATGACACAATCCTTATAAAATTCATAAACATTGTTTGAGACACAACTATGTAGACTTCAATTAAAAAATTTGGGGTTGGTAAGATTTGATAATGTTTTTGAAAGAAGTCTCTTATGCTCACCAAGGCTGCATTTATTTGATCAAAAACACACTAAAAATAGTAATATTGTGAAATATCATTACAATTTACAGTAACTGAATTTAATATATCTTAATGTATTTTATACATGAGCTGCAAAGCTGTATTTCAAGCAGTCATTACATCAGTCTTCAGTGTCACACGATCCTTCAGAAATCATTGTAATATGCCGTTTTGGTGTTCTGCTTAATATTTTTGTGGAAACCATGATCCCCCCCCCAACCCCAGGATTAGTTTATGAATAGAAAGTTCAAACATAAAAGCATTTATTAGAAAATGTAATAATGTGTTTACTTTTGACAAACAAAACTTTTAAACTGCACAGCTCATATTGCGTATATATACACATACGCATTTATTGAATGATTGCGGCAGAGCAGCTTTACAGCTCAAAGTATATTTAGTATTATCATACACACTCAATGATATCAATTAAACCTTTCTGAATTCTGAATTTAATTTGCTACCCGCCTGAAGGACTAGTCTTTGGTCACTTGAAAAGCTACGGAAATATTATGAAAACATGTAAATGACTGTTGCCCAAGGGCACATCTTTAGGAAACAAGAATAACTTAAAGGCACATATTCCAATGAAGATGCCATTCCTTATGTAAGCTATACTAAAGACCGTGAGCACTCAGGCAGAACCAATTCAGCATTACAGGAAGAAATCAAAATATCCACAAAGGTCTTGCTCTATCTACTGATTTAAATGAGTTGGACTCCAGCTAGATTGTTGCTATGCAATATTCTCCGGTTTTAGCCCCACTCTTTTTATTATTTGTTTATCTAGGACGAGCACATAATAAAGACCACTGCAGAATGCACAGCTCTAAAAGAGAAAAAATGACATCATAACAACCACCAATCTGCACAAATAGTGGCACACCATGAAGAGATATATAGCCCTAAATGATGTTTGGTTTGGGGTTTTACATTTCAATTTAGCCCCAGGCCTTAGAGACATTAAGGCCCTAATGTACATCTTGGTCAGTGTGAGTTCCCTGGAGCAGTCCGCATGCTTTATTAGCAAGTCTCTGGCCTCCTCGTAATAGCAAACCAGTCTCTCATTACTGGTCATTAGATTCATATTACTTGTATTTGAAATAGCAATACATCTTGCTACCATAACTAGTTTTAAAGGCCTTGATAATGCACTAAAGAGAAAGAAAATACTCGGAGCAAAACAGTTTGTAATTGGAACATGGTGTAGAGGCTGTTTGCTTGTATGGACTGCTAATGCGGTTCTCTTGTATAATAACTTGTACAATCAGTACAGAAATGTGGAGACTGAAATAATCTTGCATTTAAGGCATACTTTGACTCAGAGGAACATATCATTTTGCAGGCAATGCCTTGGGGTTACAATATGATAAGTCGACATGCAATGCAGACAATATTAAACAGCTTCTTTTAGTGTGCTGAATGAACACTTGACAATGGAACCGATGCAATAAGACCCATACTGGGAATAAGAGAGAAAATTTCAGCATCCTCACCTTTTTTTCCCCTCTACAAGCTAATAAAGAACTGCACACATGAAGAATACTAAACATGCGCTGAAAGCCCCAACACAGCCAACGTGCTACACCTTGACAGCGCTGCTTCTTGACAACTGTGTATGTCAATGTAATGATCTGTGATAGGTCAGGTCATTATGCCCTTTTACATATGCATCTATAAATGCATTCATAAATACATAACTTTTTTATTGTGTAGGGTTAAGCCGTGACATTTTAAAATGCATTTTCCTCATCTGTTCGGCATATTCTTTTTTGACGCTGATGTTTTCCTTTCACAGAGTATTACTGCTACCTCACCCAAAAAGGTCAAAACCAACACAATTTCACAAAAAAAGAAGAAGAAGAAAAAAAAACCTCACATGGATCTGCACTAGTTACATCGGTGAAAGCTGTCATTGTCTTATATTAACACTGCATTGCAAAAAAGTAGAAAAGCATCATCTTCAGCTTGTTAGAGCCCTGTCACCTGTGACCAATTCTCAGAAAATAATAATTTTCCAAAATGTTCTCCAAAGCAATGTTTTAGAATTCTTTTTTAAAAACCAAAACACTGCAGCCAGTGTAACCCCTGTGACACACGTAAATTAACCAAGTGAAACAATTCAATTAGGTGGCAAACTCACCATGTGCAACACCTTATTCCTTCTCTGAACTTTGACCTTGGAAGGACTTTTCCCACAACTTTTAATATTTTCAAAATACAATTCCCCCCCCTCCCCCCCCTTTTTTAGTTAACATCAGTGGCATACAGATAAAAAAGTTTTTTTTTTATATCATTTTAATGAATACTTGTAATTTTTAATTTAATTTAATTAATTATTTATTGTTTTGCATTTAATTAATTAATTTGGCATTTTTCAAGTGTCAGCATTAATGCTTTATCTGTAATAAAATTACTAAATTAGTAAAGAATACAAGACAGTCAATATCACAAAAAATGAAATGAAGAGGACTAGAGGACATATTTTATGTTTTATGTGCAAAACTTTACTCAAACAGTGTATTATTTAATAAAATGTTTGTGGAAAATGAAAGCTTTTAAATAGAGTTCGCTTAACATTTAAATTTTTATTATGACATCTATTTTGAACATGACAAATACAGGGATGTGGCACCTGCAGTCGAGAAAGTGACAGACAGAACATGACCGAAAGAGTGGCATACTAACATTGTCAAGACAGTTTCACAAGTGCTCATCTGTCACTTCTTGATGGCCTGGGTGAAAATTACAGCCTGTTCGTTTACAGTCCATTTTGAGTATACATAGCACATTAAGAGACTCATTATCTATTTCAGACCATATGGACTTGGGCTGAGGTAGGTCACTGCAAGGCCATCCTAAGCTGCTCTCTCTAATTGCAACAATTATGCCATCTTCATTACAAGGGGCATTTATGGAAAATGGTGCCATGGCCCCTCAAGATTGGTGTCATTGCACTCTGGACTACAAGAGAGCCAAGGAGTTATGCCCTGCAGCCCACACAGCCCAAATGAGCTCATATCCCATGATTCTGAGCTGAATGTGGCCCAGGGAAATTTTCTACGGATTTCTATAAAGTTGCATGTCTGCTTAAAATTGTATAAAGCTCTTGAAACATTCCTTGCTAATATATATATATATATATATATATATATATATATATATGGTGCACCTCAACTATCAT